GGCTCCTACAGCGGCGTGCAGGGCAGCAGGGGGCCGCACGCGTGCTCCTAAGGCGGCGCGCGAGGCAGCAGCAGGCCACGCACGCTCCTAAGGCAGCTAGCGGAGCAGCAGCGGGCTGCGCAGGCGGCAGACGCGACGCGCGGGCTCCTAAGGCGGCTCGCAGGGCAGCAGTGGGCCGCTCACAAGCTCTTAAGGCGGCTGCCGGGGCAGGAGCGGGCTGCGCGGGCAGCAGTTGCGACGCGCGGGGCAGCAGCGGGCTGCGCGGGCGGCGGACGCAGCGCGCGGGGCCTAAGCGGGCTGCGCGTGGGCGGCTTAAGCGGCGTGCGGGCCGGCAGCAGGCTGCGCGGGCGGCTAACGCGGCGCGCAGGGCCGAAAACAGGCTGCGCGGGCTGCTTAAGCAGCGCGCGCTAAAAAAAAAGATACGCGCGCTTGCAACCGAGGCGCGCGCGGGCAGCAGGCAAGGCAGGCAGACAGGCAAGGCCGTAGGTGAGGTAACGCAGTAACAGGTGGGCCCTAATCTTAGGTCCTGAAGACCTACTGCTCTGTATCTTAGAGACTAGGCAGATGTGAGTTTGACTATCGAGTGGTTTTTTTGGTATAAGAAGGAAACCTAAGGGGTTGTACCCCACAGTATCTACCCCACTACAGCCTACCTAGAAATATAACATATGTATATGTTTGACAGTAACATGGTTTTTGGCGAATTCATATTCAGAAATCTTGAACTTGAAAATAGCCATGTGGAACTCGGGCTTTAAGTTTGCTGATATAGAAAGGGGGTCATCACAAAATAGTCCTAAATAAGCATTCCACCCCCCGAATGTGAGACCCGCAGGACTTTTAGACCGGCGGGTGGGTATATCCGGGAAAATACGGTACTGCTGAGATCGTTGTGTAGACTGCTACTAGCTACACCCAATGGGGCTACTTCTGCTCTGCACACCAAAAATTATAAATCTACTCATTTGTCATCATGCTCTGGACAATGATACAAGTCGCACCAGGAGTTCACAGCGCAACCAAGCATCAATTGCACCACCCGCTCAAATCTTTATCTCCAATTACCCTCACTTGGTGGGCACATTCTTCCCGACAATCTTTGCCGGGCAGATGCGCAGCAAATTTCCTGCCTTCCCGGGCACAGCCCCTCGAATAATAACCGCCCGGAGCTCAGGGTCAACCTTCATGATTTTCAGCTTCCGGATTTTCACCTGGGCGTTACCCAGCTGCCCGGGCATTTTCTTTCCAGGGTAAACGCGACCGGGGGTGGTACCAGCACCGATGGAACCCAGCTGACGGTGGGACTTGGAACCGTGGGTCATGGGGCCGCGGGCAAAGTTCCACCGCTTGATGCCACCTGGGGGACGAACAGGCATGAGAATATGGACGGGACGGAAGAGGCCAGGAGGAGGGGCAAGGGAGGGTGGGGAGGAGGGGGGGAGGGAGGGCGGGAGAGGAACCGGCGGGTGGGGTGGTGGGAGGGAGAGGGGGAAGGAGGGGGGATGAGAATCACAGGCAACTGGTGGTACGAGCACCAATGGAGCCCAGCTGACGGTGGGACTTGGAACCGTGGGTCATGGGGCCGCGGGCAAAGTTCCACCCCTTGATGCCACCTGGGGGAAATCAGGCGTGAGAACATGGAAAGCATGGAAGAGGCAGGGAGGAGGGGGAAGGGAGTGCGGGAAGGGGGGAGGAGGGGGGGTGTTGTGGGAGAAGGACGGGGGAGAGGAGCGTGGAGGAGGGGGGGAAGGAGGGGAGATGAGAATCACAGGCAACGGGTGGTACGAGCACCAATGGAGCCCAGCGCCAATGACGGTGGGGACTTGGATCCATGGGTCATGGGGCCATGGGCAAAGTTCCAGCGCTTGATGCCACCTGGGGGACGAACAGGCATAATTTGGAAAGAATGCAGAGGAGGGAGGGGGGAGGTGGGGGCAGGAAGCATGGATGGAGTAGGGGAGATGAGAATTACGGCCATCGGACCCAGCTGAACGAGCATTAATACGTCTTTCCAGCTTAATGCTGTGCTACCGCCTATTTCTCTCCCCTACCCCCCTCTAGCTACCCTCCCCGGCCCGCCCCCCCCCCCCCCCCCCTCTCCCCTTACCCGCGAATCCCTTGCCGATGCTGACGCCCTTGATGTCGACCAGGTCGCCCGCCTGGAACAGATCCTCAACCTTGATCTGCTGCCCCGGCGCAAACTGCGCTACGGTCTCCGCGGGCAGGCGGAACTCCTGCAGGTGGCGCAGCGGCGGCGCGCCGCTCTTCTTCGCGTGCCCCGCCTCGGGCTTCGACAGACGCCCCTCGCGCACACGCCGGTACCCCACCTGTGGGATGGGGGGGAATGTGGGGGAGGTGGGGAAGAGGAAGGGGGGAGGGGGAAAGGGGGAAGGGGAGGAAACGGGGGAGGAGGAGGGGAGGGGGGGGGAGGGCAGGAGAGAAGTGAGCTGGGTGGGGGGAGGGGGAGGGGTTCGGGGGGATGGACAGGCGGAAGTCCTGCAGGCGGCGCAGCGGCGGCGCTCCGCTCTTCTCCGCGTGCCCCGCCTCGGGCTTCGACAGACGCCCTTCGAGCCCACGCCGGTAGCCCACCTGCGGGGTGGCGGAGGAAGGTGGGGGGGAAAGGGGAGCAGAAAAGGGGGGAAGAGGGGGGAGACGGGGGAGAGGGAAAAGGGAAGAACGGGAGGAAGGGGGGGGGACGGAGTGAAAGAAGGGGGAAAGGGGATGGGCGGAAGGAGGAGGATGAGCTAGAAGGTATTGATATCCTTCCGCAACTGGACTGGATTTGCTAACCCTTGTTCAAAAGTAGAACCTTGTTCGGAGTACAGGAAAACACCTCCGTAGCAGGCGAGTAATAGGACTCGATTCGAAGGAGCTACAGGAAACTGCTAAGGCACTACGATCGCAAAAGCTCACGCTAAGGAGCTCCACGAGGCGCCAGAACAATATATGCGTGCGAGAAGAAAGCAGTTGCTGCCAAATCTCATGATCGCAGGTGATGCGACAGATTTTCCGTTATCGGTAATGATATCCCACTGCACTGCAGGTGACTGGAACAACAACCGACTGTTGAGACGTCTCAAAAGTTGCGACAGCTTTTCCGTCACCGTTCTATCCTTCTGGTGGTTATGGTACCCCATAACACTGCAGGTGACCCGAAAAACAACCGTTGATCCAACCATTCAGAGGCTTGCGGTATTGTCGACGGAACGTAAGGCCTAGCGAATGAACCGAGCGTAGCGAGTCAATCGAGACGTCTTGTACGGAGAAGAGAAAATCGACTAGAATGCTAATCGAGCGGAACGAGGGTCATGTAAAAAATGCAATAGCTCCAAGAGTAACAGATATTCTTTCGTACTTTTGAGGCGCCTCAGAAATCGAATCTTTATTCGAATGGTTGATCGGGGCCCATGGGAAAAGAGTCGTAACCATGAAAGCAAGTGCCTCGAGAGTAGCCAAAAGGGCAGCCTTCTCGACGTAATGCGACACTAATAAAGGGTTGCCAAAACCCTAGCATGCTCTGCTTTCCCCTGACTCGCCTCTAGCGTCGTACCTGCACGGCATTGTAACCATCGGTGTCAGTGGTCTTCACTTGCGTAACAATGTTACCCTCGTGGAAGCCAATCACCGTGCAGGGAACGGCCTTGCCGTCCTCAGTGAACCACGTCAGCATGCCGACCTTGTTACCCAAAACCCCGACTCCAGCCTCCATACCCATGGTAACCACGCCTCTACACCCGGTGCTAGTTGAAGAAACGCGGCTCAAGGAGTCGGAAAGACCGGCTGACGTGGCGCTGGAAGCGGGAGACGCGGAGAGTCGCAGGCCATCGAACTTGCGACCGAGAGCGGAGGCTGAGATGGAGGGTGATGCGACGGCGACAGCGTTGCGGCGAGGTTGCGACGCAACCAGCCTAGCAGAGACTGTGCATGACCCGGCCGGGGCGATGGCAGCCATGGCTGAGACAAATCAAAATTAGGTCACAGAAAATAACACGGCCGAAAAGCGGCTGCTCTAAAAGTAGGAGGACCTTATCCACAGAAAAATAGTCGTTCCAGCAAAGGAAGAGAAGGCAAGCTCGAGGTGATGGATAATCGCCAGGGGTACGACGAAGATCAACGAAGGTTGGCGAACTGGAATATCTTGAGTGAATGACAAATGATTTCAATTGACGATGAACTTACGATTTCGCTAAAGCAAAAGACACCGAGCTGTGCGAAAGGATTACGTGTTTCCAGCAGAGAGGCGGCTTGACAAGGAGGATGTGAGATGTTGACACGTGTGCTAGCGGAGCAACTCTCTCTTTTGCAGAAATTCCTTACAAGCAAATGGGTTAGCGTGTTACAACTAATCAAAGGAACTGCATATGAAATACGAGAGTGCAATTTATCTATCTTTAAAAGAGAGTTGGCAATTACCGTCCGCCAACGATTTTCTCAGTAACGCGCAAAGGAACTCGCCAAATCTCCCACCCTTCCTCCACATTCAACCAGTGGCGGAACTCCCGCTAGCCAATCAAGTAATTCCTTGGCGCGTCGGCCGAAATAGACAAACTCTCGCATGCGCGTTGCGCCTCACGTAAGCTGTGTCCTCATGTGTCGAGAGACTCTCGACTCGACAATCCCACAAACACAACACAAAGCCCTCTGGAATTGAGTGTCGAGCTACCGACTTACACACCAGCCCACCAACACTGACGCTGCTGCCTGCCAGTTGTTTTCCTTATCCGCCTTACTCCGCGCCCGAAAAGCACGCTGCGTTGACCGCGGGGAGTGAAAACGAAACGCCATCCTGGCTGCGCCAGAACGCAACAGCCTGTCCCCTCCGTTAGGGCATCCCATGCAGAGTACGACATAGGCATGCTATAACTTGCTCCATGCTAAAGCCTCTTCCATAACAAAAGCCTAGATTCGAAGATTGAGAGCCCCACCTCGTTATTCTTGATCATTGCTTTCGTAGCTAGTACCTGCCCACCCGTCATATCTGCGAGCATTTTAGAGCGGGAATGGCGTCACTAGGTCACCTGCGCCGCGCGCTTATCTTTTCCGCCGCTTTCACGCTTCTCCTCCCCCCCACCGCCGCAACCACTCAATCGTACGCCATTGCCCGGGACAAGAACCTACGCGGAGGAGCTGTTGAGCATAGCAGCACACCAGACTCCCCAGACGGATACGGACCTGCATCATCCGATTCAGACGATAGCTACAGCTCAGGGTCGCCTGGTGCGGAAAACGCGGAGGTGAAGGCGGCGAAGAGAGTTTCTGCAGCGGATGCGGAGGCGGCGGAGGCACTAGCGGCGTACGAGGAGGCGAAGCGCGCCCTCGCGTCGCAGAAGATTGAGCAGGAGGAGATGCGCATCCGGGCGCTCGAGGCGCGGCAGACACAGCGCGACGCGGCGCGCGAGCAGGCGGAGCTGGACGCGGCAGTCACGGCGGCCGAAGTGGAGCTTCAATCCGCGGAAAAATCGCTCAATGACGCGCGGCAGGAGCGCGGCGCAAACGCTTCGGCAGGCGCCGCCAGCGCAGTTGACAGAGCGGCGCTGCGGAAGGATCAGGTTGCGCGGAAGCTTTCCGCTGCGCGCGCCGAGGCTCGCGGGAACCGACCGTACCTGCAGGAGATGGAGGCGAACGTGCGGGATTTCGAGGGCGCGTTCGTGATGGCGGCGCGGGAGGCCGGAATGGCGGCAGTGCGGGTGAAGGCGCTCCGGGCGGAGATGGTTGAGAAAATGGAGAGGGCGGCGGATGCGCAATCAGCGTGGCAATCGATGGTGCAAGAAGAAGATCGCCACAGTGGGTCGATGGTACAACTCGATGCTGCTCCACTGGGTGTTGTCGCAGCTGCTTGACAGGGCAGAATGCAATTTCGGGTTGACAATCGTTTGCGATGTGGGTTTTGGGCGAATGCGGATGATGCGGTGGGTGCTTTCGTGGCGTTTGGGAGTCTCTAATCTCACCATCAGATGTTGATATGGTCAAATAAAGCGGCCGCTGCCGCACCTTAGCAGGGTAAAGCACTCTGTGGGTCATGGTGCACTCTTTGTATTGATGTTTGGCTGAAGGTAACTAAATGTGTGGATGAAGGTGACGCAGAGGCTGGGATGTTTGGTAGTTTATCCAGCCGTCCCCAATAAAGAGTCTCATTGTGCTTCTGTAGTCAAGATTTTGTTGATTTGCTGCCTAGGTCACTCGATATTCCACAAGAGATTATCTAATCAATGTGCTTCGTGACGTTAATTTCTAAATAAAGTATCTGCCGAGAGGAAATGCCGTATGTTACTTCTGAAGCAAGCTCAATATTCCACAAGATATTATCTAATCAATGTGCTTCGTGACGTTAATTTCTAAATAAAGTATCTGCTGAGAGGAAATGCCGTATGTTACTTCTGAAGCAAGCTCACTCGATGATGGAAAACCCTATTGTATCGTATGTGACATGCTAAAACAAGCTGAATTATGCTGTTTTCACTGCACAAGGTTTTGATAACTTCCCTGAGACAGCCCTGGCAGACGCTGAGATGCAACAGGCCTAAGAAGCCATCCACCAATGTCCCGTGATGGAAGTTGCACATCAACCATCCCTACATTACTATTGGTGTTATCAGCAGTTTCAATGCCTCAGATGCCTGGAGCCAATGAATGACATCTGTCTGCGCAGGTGGCCTAGTCTGCAAAACGAGAATGGCCCAATGGTACATGAGTAACGTCACATGAAGATTGCATGTGAACACAAAACTGATACACTGTATCAAACTTATGCCTTGGTTTTATTTTTGAGATATTGGATAGGAAACGCATGACATATAGCCTATCCTATTTGAATAGTATTAAGTTTACATTAATTGTTGTAAGTTGATGGAGCACCAAGATAGAAGTGTTCGCCCTTTTAGTAACACCGTTCGCATTCGCGAAATTGCTGGCTGGTACCACACTCTGCCATATGCCCACCTGTGCCACCAGCGAGGATCAAGCCCGTACGCGTTACAGATCTGAGTTGAGCTGGGGTGGTGCGGCTTTCGAAGCCTTTGCGTCGATTGTCATCCTCCGGGCTTATCTGGGCCGTTCAACTCCCACCTTGTCCATCCCACCCAGCCATACTCCCGTCCGTCCGAGAGCCCCAACAAGCCCATCCCTGTGAAATTGTGAATTCTTCCCGCCGCCACACCTCGCGGCAACACCTCCCTCATGTATGGCGCGTCGCCACCATCGTACGGTTTGGTGGATAAGCGGACGTGAAATGTACGGTGCACGTGCAATATGTCCAAGCAGACTAGATAACAACTAGATTTCAGAACCACGGTCTGGGCCTGGGGTATGCTTCGCCAGTAGGACCTCCTGAGTCACTCAGTGACACTTCCATACCTTGACTCGCCTTTTTTGCCTCTAATAGCTGTGATTGCGACGCGACATACCGAAATTCCAACTCGTTCGCGTGCGTCGTTTCGGATATGAAACAAGGATTGTCAGGTTTCTCGACTCTCAAACAGGAAACGAGAACCATGGAGCTGAGGCGAGATCATTACAACCCTCCCTCGCCTGTCTGCTTGACACTCGCTACCATTCTCTCACTCTCCATCACATTAACCTTGGTAACACTCGTGAGCGGTGTTCCTCCTGTACAGATACCGAGTTCTGCTATTAGCGAGGTCACAGAGTCTTCTCCTGCCACCGACCGAGCTGGCTCAACTCAAGCCGCGACAAAATCGATAACGACAATCCCGCACCACGTCATCACCAGTTTCAAGTTACCTGGAGGAAATGCCGACGCCGTAACCTTGCTACGCCCCTTAAAAGCAGCGGCGGTTAAGGCAAAGCAGCTCGCGTACGTGGCGCGCCGCGACCTGGAGGCCATGGAGCGGAACCTGCGAGACGCGGATCGCAAGGTAGACGGGGTGCACGAGAAGATTCAACTCGCCAAGAAGCGCGCCGAACTCTTCGCGGCGCGAGCCCGCGAGCAGCAAGCGGTCGCGGAGGAAATGGCGGCGGCTGCCGCTGCGGCGACGAAACGCGCGTTTGAAAATCCAAGCCCCGACGCTGTAACCGCGTTCGAGGTTGCGGTTGCGGCAAAAAAAGTGAGTCTGCACATAGCGGGGACAACGGCGAAGAAAGCGGAGAGGATCGCCAAGAAGGCTGAGATGCGCGCGGAGGCTTTGAGGCTCACGATAGCCTATCACAACAATCTGAAACCTTTGGTTGACAAACACGTGGCATCGGTTCGGAAAGCCGAAGCTCAGGCTGACGAGGCAGCGGCAGAATTCGTTAACGTGTGGAGGAGAATCAGATCGCGGATTACAATCGCGGATTTGACAACACTTTTGTTGACCAACTCAGACGTAGTTCCGGAGTCACCGAGCCTGGCGGATAATTCGACAGCTTCGGGAATTGCAGGAGGTCCCACTGCCGCCGTCGCAGTTGCGCTGCAGCGTATTTCCGCGTCGGAAGCGGAAGAATTCGTCACAAGGGCGTTGCAAAAGGAAGCTGTTGCCGTTTCCGAGGCTGCGAAGGTTGCAGCTGAAGAGGCTCGGATTCGAGCCTTCGAGGCTAAGAAAGAGGCTCGGGAGAAGAGGCAGGAGCAGGAGAATGTCGAGGGAGAGGCGGAAGAAGCGGAGTTTCAGGCGAGAGAGGCGGAGAAAGACGTGCGTCAAGCTAAGGAGCGAGCAGCGCAGATTGCGGAGCTGTTAGTGGAGCAGCGGAAAGTTGCGGAAGAAGTGGCGGCGGAGCGGGAGGTTGCGCGCAAGCGCGCGTACGTGGAGGGGTCCGAGGAAGCGCACCAGGCAATGGATCTCGCGACTGCAGTCAGCGAAGAAGGCGCACGGGTGCTTGCGGAAATTATTCGAAAAACGCGACGGGCAGCTGAGAAGGTTTCGTTGAGGGAGGATCATTGGCGGCAGGCCGTGTCCTATCGGAAAGAAACGATGCAATTGGCAGAGAATAACAAAGCCGTGCTAGAGGGGTTGGAAAGGAGAGCTGCACAAGCAGAGCGGGAGTTTAGTACGGCAAAGGAGGCGGCTAAAAACGCGGATGAATTGGTCAAGAAGCTCAAGCTGCTGTTGTTGAATAGGCACGAAGAGTCCAAAATGCTCCGGCAGCATCGGTGGAAATCATCCCAAGCGTCGAAATCGTAGAGGTTTATCACATATTTCGTTCCTGTAAGGAATTTTCTCGGCATTCCTTACGGAGCCCGACTACATCGCGTACAGTAATCGCCGTTGTTCGCCCATTACTGCTAACGGGGCTTCGCCGACTTCGCGCGCACTGTTTCACCAAACCTCGCACTGCTGGCCTGGCCGTGTCGGCCTACGCTTCGGGACTAGCCCGAGCCTCGTTTCCAACGTAGCACTAGCTAGCTCGCACGCACCGCATTACCGTTTGCATGTTTCGCGTATAAATGTTCGCTCATGCCTTCGCTCACATTTTGTACTCGTTTGACACCTTAGTGCAATTCTCGCTACTTCGATTCATTGCACCCGTAACACTTGGTATTCAAAGCCCCTTTCTTTCGGACCGCGCATCTCCGCACCCCAGGAAATCAACTTTTGATTTTTCACTCGAAGGGACTCACGTACCTTAGCACCTAGGAGCCGCTGTCCTCGCGTTCTCTCGTAAACGCGTGCAGCCACGACTGCGCCTAGACTAAGACGAGCCGACGCCCTTCGAAATGGCTGAACATATCGACGTCACGACTCTCACGCAGGAGCACTTGAACGATCTGCTGCGACAAATCTGCGAGAGCGCCGAGGAAATGTGCGCTGACGGCAGAACGCTCGTCCCTGCAAAACGACCTCACACGAGCACAATCCCAAGCACCTGGCACTCCGATTCAGCCCGCACCACAGACATCACAGCACGGAAGTGTGGGGCAACCCGCGAGCGCCGCAAGTGATGGCGTCGTCCGCCATGACGGAGACGAAGACCACGGCACGACACACCCCGACGCGACGAATGCGGCCAGGACTCAGCCTCGAGTCACGATTTCAGTGCCGGCCGGCGAATCAACTCTTCCGTCGCCGATGCCGCTAAAGCCGCAGCGTCCGCCATGCTTTGACCCAAGTCAGCGGGGTGGTCCTACCGTTCAGGCGTGGCTCTTCACGTTGAACGTCTTCTTCGACGCGAACTACGTCTCGGAGGATACGGCGAAGATTCGCTACGCCGTGTCGTTGCTGCGAGGACCCGCCATGGACTGGTGGCGTGTCATCGTCACGAAGCCGGTGGACTACGCGACTCTACCGACACGGGAAGGACAAACCGGACCCTGGGCGCCGTCGTATTTTGTGGAGGTGCCCCAGTATTGCACGTGAGACGCGTGGTGCGCAGGTCTGCGCGCTCGTTTCGAGCCAATCGCGGCTTCGATCGCGGCGCGACAGAAGCTCCGCACTTGGCGCCAACTCGGTTCCGTCCAAGACTACACGAGCGGATTTCTGGCGCTATGCGAGCAGGTGGGATATATGCACGAGAGTGAGCGCATCGACCGCTACATCGGCGGCCTGAAGCAGGACATCGCTCAGGAAATCCAACTTCGCAGCGTCACCGACTTTCAAGGAATTCTCGTTATGGCGGAGAAACTTGATTTCTTCCGCCGACCGAGACCGGGATCCTACGGAAGCAACCATTGGGGACATCGGCCTCGTGGGACGAACGAGGGCGCCACGATACGTGCCGTCGCCGCAAATGCCGCTGCCGCACCGTTCAAAGGGCGCTGCTTTGCGTGCAATCGGCAAGAGCGAATGCCCAGAAAACGCTAAGGGAACGGGGGAAGCTGAGCAGCAGAAACAGACCAAGCAGCAGGGAAACGCTGGGAGTCAGTAGCAGACGGGCCCTCTACTGACAGGTCACGCCGCTCGCCCGACCCAACCGACCCTCACCGAGGGATTGTGCCGGTTCACGCAATCGACCACACCCGGCCGAATAAGGAGGGGACTACGGTAGACAGTCCTATACTGCTTAGTGGGAAAATTGGGACGGACTTTGTAAAAATCTTCGTAGACGGGGGAGCCAGCCACAGCCTCATCAACACTGCCACAGCACGAAAACTGCGACTGCCCCTGGACAGATGTTTACCTGAGATCGACGCAAGACTGGTAGACGGCACGCCACTGGCGATACGGGAACGCGTAGACCGGGTTCGGATTCGATGTGGGGGTAACTTCACGTTTAGCCAGGAAATGCTCGCAACGACCCTCAACGGAACCGATATTTTACTCGGGCGTGATTGGCTGCGACGACACAATCCGCGAATCGACTGGACGACGGGTGACTGCACCGTGCGAGTGAACGGTAACAACATCGCCTTACCTCGCTGGGGCTCGCCTGAGTCTTCGTCGGTGCGTGTCAACGCGATCACGATGAAACGCGCCGTAGCGGCAGGAGCTGACGTGTACGCGGTCGACATTCGGGAAGCCGAGGCAGCAGACATTCGGGATTTACAGAAACTGCTGGCCGACGTACCGAGTGACCTGGCAGCACTGTTGAAGCAGTACAGCGACATTTTCCCGGACGATTTACCGACGGGACTGCCACCTCAGCGACCGAACGACCACAGGATAGAGTTAGAACCGGGGGCACAGCCAACAGTACAGCGACAGTTCCGATTGACCCAGCCCGAACTGGACGAACTGAGGAAGCAGCTCGATTACCTGCTCGAGAAGGAATTCATTCGCCCTAGTTCGTCGCCCTTCGCAGCACCGATACTGTTCACACCGAAAAAAGACGGGGGATTTCGCATGTGCATAGATTACAGAGCACTGAACAGGGTTACCATCAAATCCCGTTACCCCATCCCGCGAGCCGATGAACTGATCGACCAACTACGCACAGCCCGGGTTTTCTCGAAAATCGACCTTCGAGGGGGTTACCACCAGATTCGCGTCACCCCGCCCGACTGCCCTAAGACCGCATTCCGCACACGCTACGGATCCTTCGAATACACCGTCATGCCCTTCGGACTGACCAACGCCCCCGCCACCTTTCAAATGACCATGAACGAAGCTTTCCGCCCGCTCTTAGATACGTGCGTCATAGTATACCTGGACGACATACTGATTTACAGCCCTGACAGAGCACAGCACTTACAGGACATCGAAGCAGTTTTAAAAATCCTGAGTGAGAACCGCCTACTGACAAAAGCGTCTAAGTGTGAGTTTTTACAGGATCGCCTGGAGTTTTTGGGACACGTTATTTCAGCTGCAGGAGTGGAAATAGACCCGAAGAAAATTGCGACGATTCAAGCATGGCACGCGCCGACCAACTTGACCGAGCTGCAGAGTTTTTTGGGGTTCGTCAACTACGTGCGCCGGTTCGTCCCCGACATGGCGAAGCTGACTGCCCCGTTGACTAACCTGCTGAGGAAGGGGGTTGAGTACACGTGGGGGGAGAAAGAGCAAGCTGCCTTCTCGGCCCTCAAAAACATTTTGTGCTCACCGCCCGTGCTTCACATCGCAGATCCACACCGTCCGTTCGAGCTCGTCACTGACGCAAGTGACATCGCTGTGGGAGCAATACTGTTGCAGGATTTCGGGAACGGCCTCCAGCCAATCGCGTACGAGTCCCGCAAGCTGCACCTGCCCGAACGCAATTACCCGATACACGACCGCGAAATGTTGGCGATCGTGCACGCGTTCAAGGTTTGGCGGTGTTACCTGACTGGCGCCGACGTGACAGTACGGACAGACCACCGATCACTACAGTACTTACGCGCCCAACCGAATCTCAATCCACGACAGATTCGCTGGTTGGACTACCTCGAGTCCAACTTCCACTATACGGTTACGTACAAGAAAGGCGCATCCAACATCGCCGACGCACTCACCCGCCCTACCGCCCAACTCCACGCCATCCTACTCGCCCAGACCAACCCACTTTTAACAGGCCTATTTACCCACGGATACCGCACTGACCCATTCTTCACGACCGGAAATTCACAGCAACTGGCAGAAGCTAAAGAAGTTTATTACGTAAAAACAGGCACCAACCGCATCTGGGTACCCGCGTACTCACTACTGAGGGAGCTACTACTACAGGAGGCACATGACGGAATTACCTCGGGACATTTTGGGGTTGAAAAAACGCGACAGCAACTGCAGCGGTATTACTAATGGGCGGAGCTGTTGACCGACGTGCAGCAGCACGTGGGCTCGTGCCCCACGTGTCAGGTGATGAAGAGCTCAAGGAAGCGGAAGGCGGGTCAATTGCAGCCGATACCACCGCCTGAGCGCGCCTGGCAGCAGGTTACCATGGACTTCGTTACAGGGTTACCTTCGAACCCTGGGGGTAACGACGCAGTGATGGTCGTCGTTGACAGGTTGACGAAGATGGCACACTTCGCTGCGTGCAAAAAGTCGATCTCAGCCGAGGAGACCGCTCGTCTGTTCATCGCAGCCGTTGTTCGCCTGCACGGGATACCAGCAGCAATTATCAGCGACAGGGACACGAAGTTCACCAGCAACTTCTGGAAGAACCTCTGGGAGCAGTTCGGGACCAGGCTACAGTTCAGTTCGTCGTACCACCCCGAGACCGACGGTCAAACGGAGCGGACGAATCAGACGATGGAGCAGTTGATTCGTGCCACGTGCGACGACCCCACGACTTGGGAGCAGCAGCTGCCGCTGATCGAGTTCGCGTACAACAATGCCACGTCAGCAACGACGCAGCAGTCCCCTTTCTACCTGAACTACGGGCAAAACCCTACAGTGCCCATGACGCCGAGTCCGGACAACCCAACACCACGTGCACAGCAATTCGCCGAAATTCTGCAAGCTGCCCGCACCAGAGCCGCAGAAGCAATTAAAAAAGCGAACGTCATCGCTAAGCGCAACGCTGACTGCCACCGCCGCCCAGTCACATACCAGTCAGGGGATTACGTACTGCTCGATACGCAAAATCTGCGACTGCCCGACGTACCAAAACTTCGACCGCGCTACTGTGGCCCATTCCAAATCAGCCACATGATCACGCCAGTAACCGCGCACCTACTGTTACCGACCGACTGGTACATCAGCCCTTCGTTCCATGTCAGCTTGCTTCGCCCCTACATCCCAACCACAAGCCAACTGCCTCGCCACCGCCCGCCATCCATGACTCGCCCTGCATCGGAGCCGATCATCGAGCCCGAAAAAATCCTGAGCCATCGGATTCGACACCCCACGGGAATCAAGAGGATTGAATTCCTCGTTCGCTGGAAGGATCGCACGCCAACTGAGGACAGCTGGGTGCCCCTGGCCAACATCGAAAACCACCCTGCCCTGCAAGTGTACCTGAGGAGCCGGGGATTCCGCGATATACACGCACTCGCGTAGCGGAGGGGGCTTCTTGAGGGGGGGGGTAGTGTAAGGAATTTTCTCGGCATTCCTTACGGAGCCCGACTACATCGCGTACAGCAACAGCCGCTGTTCGCCCGTTACTGCTAACGGGGCTTCGCCGACTTCGCGCGCACTGTTTCACCAAACCTCGCACTGCTGGCCTGGCCGTGTCGGCCTACGCTTCGGGACTAGCCCGAGCCTCATTTCTAGCGTAGCACTAGCTAGCTCGCACGCACCGCGTTACCGTTTGCATGTTTCGCGTATAAATGTTCGCTCATGCCTTCGCTCACATTTTGTACTCGTTTTGTCAGAATGTTATTATTATCTAGCCTGTAGTGGGGTGCTCTATAGCGAGTGCAACCCAGTTAGGGTTTGCTATATGTATCCCAACTGCTGCTAGTGAAACCCCTCTTTCATCATTCTTCTTTTTGCACTTCTTCATTCTGACATGCTATCAGAGCAGGTCGACCCCCTTGGGTCGATCCTGTGGGTGGGCCCGCCACCTAACTGCTTCCGCTGCTGTTCTACTTCTCGCACGCCTCGGGCGCGCGACATCTTCTTCCTGCCGTGCGCTCGGGGCACGCGGCGGTTTTCTGCTATGGGGACCCGCGCACAACCCCCGCCCGTCTCGTCGCGTCGCCCTGCAGGCCGCGCGCGCCCCCCCTCCCGTCCGTCGCGGCGCCCTGGGGAGCTGCGTGCGCCCCCCGCCCGTCCGTCGCGGCGCCCTGGAGAGTCGCGCGCGGCCTCCGCCCGTCCGTTGCGGCGGCCTGGGGAGCCGCGCGCGCCCCCCGCCCGTCTGTCGCGGCGCCCTGGGGAACCCCGCGCGCTCCCCCGCCCGTCCGTTTCGGCGCCCTGAGGAGGAGCGCGCGGCCCCCCTTCTGTCCCGCCCCCCCCCCCCCCCCTTAGTTCTGACACGTTTGACACCTTAGTGCAATTCTCGCTACTTCGATTCATTGCACCCGTAACAGTTCGCCTTATAATACAGCATATGTAATCAGGTTTTCCTTCTAAATAAGTATTTCCTTACAGTCAATTATGACTCCCTACGTGGTGCGACAGCGTTATCAACATTTCCCAGAGTAGTCAGAACATGTATCGGATTCGTGCAATAATGCACTAAATGGAAATCCCTTGGCCCATAATAGCTAGCAACCAATTATAGCATACGGTACATGCACGCTGCAACAGTACAGTATCGCACTAGATACCTACTTTAGCCACTCAATGAACGTCCCGCCTCTTATATGGCGCCAGAGACAGCACCTTGATTGTCCCTAGCCTGTCTGGTAATGCATTGTTGCCTCCTGCTGCTGTTCCCGTTTGAGGCGCCTCAGAACTCCTAAGAGCGTATTCCTATCCTCGTATCAAGAGAACCTCATATCAAGATTGTACTTCTTGCCTGGTAAAACTAGCGAGAGGTTTTGGGTTTAGGGGAATTTTCAGTGGGAAGTTGATATGAGGTTCTCTTGATACGAGGATAGGAATACGCTCCAAGGTGCAAGAGAGAGCACCTTGATGGTCCCTTGACTGTTAGCTGCTAGCATCGTTGCCTCCTGCTGCTGCCCGCCACCCCCTTCCGCCCCTGCCCCTGCTCTGCCTACCTCTCCGCCCTTCCAGCACGCAGCAGAGATGTTATGTGCTGTGTAGTATCGCACCAGATACTCCCAGCCCTTCTTGAAAAATTCCCGCCTTTTTATGGCGCCAGAGAGAGCACCTTGATAGTCCCTTGGCTGTTTGCTGCTAGCATTGTTGCCTCCTGCTGCTGCCCACCACCCCCTTCCCCACCTGCCCCTGCTCCACCTGCCTCCCCCCCTCCGCCCTTCCAGCACACTGCAGAGATGAAGTGAGCTGTATCCTCGTCACTGTCTTCCCCGTTAAAAGGGTCAGAGTTGGTGAATCGGTGTACTGCCATGGGCTTAGACATGGCCTGCGACAGGGATAAGAGAGGAACAACACGAAGGGTTGAGGAGTAAGGGTTGGGAGAACGGCAGCCGAGACTAAGCACTTAGTGAATGGCAATCGAATAACAGACAGAGTTCATGACTGTTACCCATCGAGTAAAAAAACGATGACATGACATGGCAAAATATGTTTCTCATGATTACCTTATAGTAGATGTACACTTCATTCGTTTCGGAGCCGCATGCAATGTAGTCACTGTTGACAGACAAGCCCACAAAGTTCTTCTCATTGGTGTGGCCCCTCAGCGTGCGGATCTGAACAGGTGCCCGGGAGAAAGGAGAATCAGGAAAGGCGGAAGTTGGAACGAAGCAGTTAAAGCACTGACAAAGTCAACCAAACACGTTCTTCTCATTGGTGTGGCCCCTCAGCGTGCGGATCTGAAAAATGGAGAGGGAGGGAGGGAGTGCGCGGGAGGGGAAGGGAAACTAAGCGGAAGAGAAATGAAGAGGGAGGGAGGGAGGAAGGGAGTGCGGGATGGTGCCCCCTCAACAAGTGCCGAAAGCCTTGCCAAGCCATGGAGAGAGATAGCGTGAAAGATAATCCACATGACGGATGGGGGTAAGAGGAAGTGTCCGAGAGGGCAACCCACTGCAGCATGCGAGTGGCCATCCCATAGCCTCAGAGTGTTGTCGGTAGAGGCAGAGGCGAGCTGCAAGGGCGAGAGGAACTTCGCTTCAGGCAGCTCTTGGCCTTGGCACAAGTGTGAGAAGGGACACTCACTGCAGCATGCGAGTGGCCATCCCATAGCCTCAGAGTGCTGTCGGTAGAGGCAGAAGCGAGCTGCAAGGGCGAGAGGAACTTGACGTGTCGGGAGTCGGGACCCAAGAAGAGAGACGAAGAGAAGAAGAACGTCCGAGAGCAACTCACCGCTGCGTGCGAATGCACGTCCCATAGCCGGAGAGTGCTGTTGGTGGAGGCCGAGGCGGGCTGCGAGGGCGAGAGGAACTTCCCTTCAGGCAGCTCTTGGCCTTGCGAAAGAGGAAGAAAGTCCGAGAGCAACTCACCGCAGCGTGGGAGTGCACATCCCAGAGCCTGAGAGTGCTGTCAGTGGAGGCAGAGGCGAGCTGCAAGGGCGAGAGGAACTTCACGTAGCTCACAGCCTTGCGAGTGAACCCTCAAGGAAGGGAAGAGGGAGAAGGGACTTTGAAAGGGGTACTCACGGCAGCGTGGGAGTGCACGTCCCACAGCCGGAGCGTGCTGTCCGTGGAGGCAGAGGCGAGCTGCGAGGGCGAGAGGAACTTGACGTAGCTCACGGCCTTGCGATGCCCGCTGAACACGTGGAGTGGCAGCGCTGGCGCTCTGATGTCGTAATAGTGAATGTGATGGTCCGCTGATCCGACCTGGTATGGGAAAAAAAACAGGGGAAACCGAAGGAGGGAGGGGAGCTGAACATGTGGAGGGGGAGCGCTGGTGCTCTGATGTCATAGTAGTGAATGTGATGGTCCGCTGATCCGACCTGCGGTTCGCACATGCAGGGAGGGCATAGCCAAGAGAGAGGATAGACACAGGGAAGCTCAGCACGTGGAGAGGCAGCGCTGGTGGCGCTCTGATACTGTAGTAGTGAATGTGAAGAAGCTTGTAAGAGAACAATCATAGACTCACAGCAATGAAGTTGGCGGAGCCCGGGTTAAACTTGACACAGCAGATGTTGGCCTTCATGACAGCATCAGGTGTTGCTGACTATATATTGGCCCGGATGATAACGCCGACCAAGGGGGGATGTGGGGATGAGAAGAGCCTTACCGCAATGAAGTTGGCGGAGCCGGGGTTGAACTTGACACAGCAGATGTTGGCATTCATGACAGGGTAGGGTATAACTTACCATACATTGACCCGAATGATAAGGCCAACAAAGGGAGGAATGCAGAGCGATGCGTGAATGCACGGGCTTACCGCAATGAAGTTGGCGGAGCCGGGGTTGAACTTGACACAGCAGATGTTGGCCTTCATGTCGATGTTGAGGATGCTGCTCTCCTGCCGCGTGCACCAGATCTTCACCTGTGATTCACATCAAGTGGCACGAGATGGGGTGGGGCAGCAGGATCGATAACACGGAGAGGAGAGGAGCAAGAGGCGAAGAGCCGCATACCAGACATAGAGCGGCGGTGACCGAGGGGAGGGTTGGGGAGGTTGAGGAGGCGAGCGGGGGAGGTTGAGGAGGTGAGGGGGAAGGCATCACTCATCATTCACTAACTCGCCTTCCCATCGTCACTGCCAGAGACAAGCCTCGTGGGTTCCGTCCTCGCAAAGTCCACGAACCACGCTCTCTTCTCGTGCTCCTCATACTCCACCAAGCTCTGCCCCGTGCCCACGTCCCTCTGTCTGCCCTGCCCTGCCCTGCCCTGCCCTGAGTGCCTTTCCACCCCGTGCGCACCGCCCCAGCTTTCCCAGTCACACACCTTCCCATCGTCACTCCCAGATACCAGTCTGGTAGGTTCCGTGCGCGCAAAGTCCACCGACCAAGCCCGCTTCTCGTGCTCCTCATACTCCAGTAGACTCTGCCCCGTGCCCACGTCCCACACCGTCACAATGCCCTCGTAGTCGCTGCTGGCAATGTGCGCCTTGAGGTAGGGGTTCCACGACAGGCAGCTCAGTTTTGAGCGAGTAGGCATCTCCACGACTGGACAGTGCACGTCTGCGAGCTCTCCCACCACCTGAAATGGAACACGGGTGCATGGGAGAAGGCGGAGGGGGGTGCACGGGAGAAGGTGGAAGGGGGTGCATGGGAGAAGGCGGAAGGGGGTGCATGGGAGAAGGCGGAAGGGGGTGCATGGGAGAAGGCGGAAGGGGGTGCATGGGAGAAGGCGGAAGGGGGTGCATGGGAGAAGGCGGAGGGGGGTGCATGGGAGAAGGCGGAGGGGGGTGCATGGGAGAAGGCGGAAGGGGGTGCATGGGAGAAGGCGGAAGGGGGTGCATGGGAGAAGGCGGAAGGGGGTGCATGGGAGAAGGCGGAAGGGGGTGCATGGGAGAAGGCGGAAGGGGGTGCATGGGAGAAGGCGGAAGGGGGTGCATGGGAGAAGGCGGAAGGGGGTGCATGGGAGAAGGCGGAAGGGGGTGCATGGGAGAAGGTGGAAGGGGGTACTTGGGTGGGGGGAGGTGGAATGGGGCGATGTGCGCCTTGAGGTAGGGGTTGCAGGAGAGGCAGCTCAGCTTAGAACGACTAGGCATTTCCACCACTGGACAGCGACCATCTGCCTACTCTCCCACGGCCTGTCACTCGGAAAAGAGAGCGGAGGGGGTGGGAATTGGGGGTGGGAATTGGGGGTGGGAATGGGGCGATGTGCGCCTTGAGGCAGGGGTTCCGGGACAGGCAGATCAGATCGCCATCGCTGCCATCGGGCAGCTGAGCTTGGAGCAGAGCAGAGGGTGGCAATGGGGTGGCGGGGCAGGGGCAGCCACAGCTTCGCCGCCCGCCACCTTCCCGGCTGGCTGCACAGGGCAGATGCTGCCAGCAGCATCACATCACAGCATCATCACATCACAGCAGCATCACATCACAGCACCTGTGAACGCGCAGAGAGGGTGTTTATGAGACGTCTCAAAAACGCCCTCTCCACACGTGGCTAATCCCCGCCACCTTCCCGGCTGCAGAAGGCAAATGCCGCCAGCAGCATCACATCACCGCATCTGTGAGCGCGCTGCGCACGCACACTCCCGCCCGCCCTGCCCCTCGCCCAGGGCAAAACAAAGTAACCGACCTGCGAGAAGTTGAAGACCTTGATTCGTGAGACGTCTCAAAAATCTACTTTCTACACGTGGTTTTGAGACGTCTCACAAAGTAACTGACCTGCGAGAAGTTGAAGACCTTGATTCGCCTCGACACGCCCGCCGTGGCAAAGAACTCGTCGTCGCGGTCGAACTCAATACTCGAGACAATGTTGGAGGAATGGAACAAATCCCCCTGCCGCAACTCCGCCACCACCTTGACACGGCTGAACCGCGTGAACGCTGCTAACACCTGCCGGAAGTCCTCCAGGCCCATGCCCAGGTCCACCTGCCCTACCGCCCCGCCCTCTCCTGCTCCTGCTGCTGACCGGTCTCCACGCCTTCCCGCCTCTGCTGCTGCTGCTGCTGCTGCTGCTTGTGATGCTGCGGATGCTCCTCCTGCTGCTCCCGCGGGCTTGGCGGAGTGCGCTGCCTGGCGGCGGTGGTGCAGGTAGCACTCCTGCAGGTCGTCGAACTGCAGAAGAGAGGAGAGAAAGGGCATATGTGAGGGGAGAGGGGGTGAGCAAGATCTGAGAAAGTGCGCTGCCTGGCGGCGGTGGTACAGGTAGCACTCCTGTAGGTCGTCGAACTGCACACGGGGGAAGGAGAGGGGATGAGGGGGAGAGGAAGGTCTTGAGGGAGTGCGGCACCTGCTGGAAAAAGAGAAGACAGTAAATGGGAAATAGAATAAAAATAAAAACAACAACAAAAGGTCAAACCAGGAAATGATTGAGAGAGGAGGAGCAGCAGATCCAGAACGGCATCTCTCCACCGTTGGATAGCCTCTCAATCTCAACGGTCTGTTCCATTCCATCCAACCTACATGGGAAAAAACGCGTCGTTTCTTGGCAACCGTTGATGCGGACATGGCAATATCCGACGGCCCACACGCGACCAGCCCTCCCCCTTCCCCTCCCCCCTCCCCTTCCGCCTCCTCCTTCACCGTCCCCACACCTCCTCCGCCTATCCCCCGCCCATCCCCCTGAATGCGCATCTTCTGCGCGGTCTGCTGCAGGTGGTGCGCGAGTGCGGGCCCCCCTCTCCGCTTGCTCCCCGCTAGCCCTCCCCCCGCGCCCGCCTTCAGGCCCGCCAGTCCCCCGGAGCCGAACCCCGTTTCGTCTCCCCCCGCGCCCGCGGAAGACGCGCCTCCGCGGAAGAGCAGCGCGTGGATGGCGGCGGCGGACTGCTCACGCATCTGCTGCAGCGCGCGCCGCCGCTGCTCCACCGCCGCTCTGTCCTCACGGATGAACAGAAGGTCCGCGCGGAGCTGGGGGGGAAAAACGGGGGGAGAAAAAGCGGAAAGGAAGGGGGATGGGCGGACTGCTCGCGCATGTTCTGCGCGGACCTGAGCTGCTCCACCGCCGCTATGTCCTTGCGGATGAACAGAAGGTCCGCGCGGAGCTGGAAATGGGGAGGGAACCGCGGACGGCGGGAGAGACCAGGGGGAAGGAGGATGAGCGGACTGCACGCATGTGCTGCTGTGCGCGCCTGCGGAGCTCCTATGCGAGGAACAGCGCCGGAGAATGGGAGAAGGGAGATGGCGGAAGGCAGGGAAGTGGGGGTACGACAGCACTTGCTCCGCTATAGACAAACTCGATAACACTCGGTACAGTACGAACCTCGTCCAGTTCCGCTTGCTTCTTCTGCCGCGACCGCTGTAAAAAATCGAGGAGGATATCCATGTTCATCTCCGCCTCCTCCTGCTCCGCCTTGCGCCGTTTCTCCGCCAGCAGCGCCAGCAGCGTGTCCAGCTCGCGCACGCTCATGCTCACGTCCGCGCCGTGCTGCAGCGCCAGCCGCAGGTGCTGCGACGGCGACGCGGTCGAGACCATCTGCGTCGCGGTGGCTTTCTTAAGGAGCTGCACAGGCAGAGGGAGCGGAGGGAGCGGAGGGAGCGGACGGAGCGGAGGGAGCGGAGCGGGGAACATGGCGGGGGACACGGGGCGAATTTAGGGACGTTTCGGAAAGAGACAATCTGCGTCACGGTGGCTTTCTTTAAGAGCTGGACGGGGGAAGCGGGAGACACGGGTGAGGAGCTCCGAGGGTGCGAAAAATACTACGACTGGAGATGCTTAGTTAAGTGTGGGGCAAGAAATTTACCTTGTTAAGCGTGAAATTCGGGAATAGCTGGTCGAGAGTGAGGAATTGCGAACAGCACGGGCAGTTCCGCTTGTGATGCAGATGCGTGGTGATGCACGAGTAGCAGAAACTATGCCCGCACGCGGTTAGAAACGCGTCGCGCATCGGCTCCATACAAATCGGGCAGAGAAAATCTTTGTCCATCTGACCCTGTCCGTGCGGAGCCGCCATGCTTCCGCCACCCGGGCCGCCTTGCGGCGCAAGAGCTTGTAACGAATGGCTAGTACCTAAGGCTATCATACACATATTTCTCCTAAAGCTCGCATTAGCATCCATCCCTATATTATCCTCGTCATGCAATTCTCCTCCTTCGATAGGCTCGAGCTTTGCCTGACTACTTTCGGCAGGAGTCCCGCCGCTACCGCCGACGCCAGCTCCGCGAGCCATCATTACTGATGGAACGTTACTCGGAAATCCCGATGAACCTTCGGTCAGTTGCACATCCATGGCGGATTTATAAGATGCGATACAGAGGGGAAAATAGTAACTGCAGAGCAGAAAAAAAAAACACAAAAAAAAATCGATTTGAACGAGCTAGAAGAATCTGTCCGTCACACAGCTATAGGAGCTGCCTGGTCCTGGCTGGGGAATGGAAACCCTAGAAAAGATTCGCTCGCATCGAGTGATGGACGAACCGTACGGGTTTGTCACCTGAAGTGCAGGAGGGCTCAAACTGTAGATCCAAGAATCTTCTGGAGTCTGTCCTGGGGGAAGTGGTGTGACTGCGAGTCAGGTTGATGGAGTGGTGAAATGAAAGGTGGATCTGTCAAAGGTGAGATGGCAAACGGAACACGGAGCAAGCAGGAGAGCCTTAGGATTTTCGTGAGCGGGCATGCAAGCTCGACACGACAACAACGAGTGGAACAATTGGGGCCATTGCGTACATTATGAGGGTAAGGAGTCTGTACACCCATAAACCCAAACTGGGAAACCTGAGTATTTTCGTCACTTTTGTTCGGAATGCAGCAGTGGCAGGTCCGATGAAGAGGTCTTGATCCAACAACACGACCAGTGGGAACATTGAAGCAGATCACTTGCGAAATTGGCAGTGAATCCAAAAAATCGCGCGGGTTCGGATCAGAACTTCTTCTGGCGTGGGTACTTCAAAAGCATCAAATTTGGTGGGTGTTGAAGGACAACACGTGGATTGTGTCAACATGTGTTTCGTGTCCCTTCGTCTGCCAACAGATCAATGTCAGATTCTTGGTCAGTGGTGTGTTTGTGTCTTTACGGTCAGCCCGATGGCACTTTTCCCAATTTCCTTAGTCTCATCCCAGCCAACCACCACAATTTTCGCATGTCGCGACAGGCAAGGGCTGCACTTTGGCAGCCCCAATCCGTCGTTTAGCGGATAATTGCTGCCCAGAAGCAACTGGGAACAGCTCTCTGAGCGGAGGGATGGAGGCCATGTACGGCAGGGATGCACTGAGCCTGAATTTGTATCGAAGGGGGGAAAAGGGTAGATCATGTTATACTGTACCACGAAGGGTTGGGTCCACTAAATGTGTACACTTTTCTGCAAAGCTGCTTATGTATTGTCTCTAGTACATGTGCAAGACCCATCAACAAAGAAGATACATCTGCTTCGCTTATCTCAAGTGGTCACATGTTTGCTAAGCATACGTGGCACATTGTTGCTCTATAAGGTGATAATTTTGCTGAACAAGAAACCTGGATCCTCCCACACCCTCCATGTTGTACGGGGCGCCACTGGATGTCCAGCCAATATCACCATAGCTGATAGATATCAGAACACCACATATGTAAAAAAATGCAGGTACCGCACGGGGCAGGGCAGGTGGGGGAAAGCAAGGATAACTTTGAAAAAATGCAGCACGGCAGCTGTGGCAGCACAGACATTTCAAGAGCGTTAATGGGTATTACTCTTAATACAAGCTCTCAACAATAGTAAGTAAATGCTCCCCGTATTTATATAAATATATTCAAAAACGAATTAGAAAAGGGCGAGAAAAGGGAAGAAAAAGGGAGGTTGGGGGGAGATGGTGGGAGCAAGGGTGGGGGGTTGGCAAACCCCATCACAACGCAACAAACCGCACATGTAAGAGCAGGCACCGGCATTCTCGCCCCCCTACTCGTCCATCCACGTGGAGAGGTAGGGGTCGCTGGTGGTCTCTGCGAGCCCAATCATGCCATCAACCGCACTGCACCATAACAAACCGAACCGCACCTGTAGACACACACACCTGTAAGAGCACATATCGACGTTCTCCTCGCCCTTGTCATTCATCCACGTGGAGAGGTGGCGGTCGCTGGTGGCCACTGCTAGCTCACTCAACCATGCACCCACCGAACCCCACACCACTGAACCCCACACCACCCCACACCCACTGGATCCCACACCCACTAAGCCACACACCTGTAGGAGCACATATCAGCGTTCTCCTCGCCCTTCTCATTCATCCAGGTGGACAGGTACGGGTCGCTAGTGGCCTCTGCGAGCTCGTGGGCGAAGGTGGAGACCAGCGCGTCCATTCCCTTGTCCCTGTTGGGCGCCGCCAGGCTGGACGCTAATTCCCACGCTGCGCAGTTGGGCAGGCACTGGCATGGGTGGGAGAGAGCACGGGAAGAGGAGGGTGTAGATGTGAGTGTGGGCGAAGGTGGAGACCAGTGCGTCCATTCCCTTGTCCCTGTTGGGCGCTGCCAGGCTAGATGCCAGTTCCCATGCAGCACAGTTGGGCTGGGCAGGCACTGAGGGAGCAGGAAGGGGATGGGGGGGTAAGGGGGGAGAGAGCAAAGGGAGCAACGTATAGCTGTGAGCATGGGCGAAGGTGGAGAGGTAAGGGTCGCTAGTGGCCTCTGCTAGCTCGTGCGCGAAGGTGGAGACGAACGCATCCATTCCCTTGTCCCTGTTGGGCGCCGCAAAGCTGGACGCTAGCTCCCATGCCGCACAATTAGGTAGACACTGGGAGGGGTGGAGAGGGTTGGAAAGGGGTGGCGAGAAGAGAATGGTGTGGGTGTGAGGAGAGGCGAAGGTGGAGACGAGCGCGTCCATTCCCTTGTCCCTGTTGGGGGCTGCTAGACTGGACGCTACTTCCGACACGGCACAGTTGGGGGGACACTGGGAGGGGCAGACCGCAAGAGCACAAGCACTGCTTGCTAGCTCCGCCACTGAGCAGTCTTGCACAGTTGGGGGGTCACTGGGAGGGGCAGACCGCAAGAGCACAAGCACTGCTTGCTAGCTCCGCCACTGAGCAGTCTTGCACAGTTGGGGGGACACTGGGAGGGGAAGACCGCAAGAGCACAAGCACTGCTTGCTAGCTCCGCCACTGAGCAGTCTTGCACAGTTGGGGGGACACTGAAGGAGGGACAGGGAGGACCGGGGGTGGAAGGGAGAATGGGGAGTGGAAAGAGGGAAGATAGGGAGGGGGAAGATAGAGCAAGGGAAGAAACGTGTAGCTGTGATGAGTTGAGGGGCGAAGGTGCGATTGAGCAGTGCCAGTTAACTCCACAGAAGCACACTGCACCGCACTCAGCCTCAGTGTACTCACTCAACCGCATGCAACAGCACTCAACCACACCTTACCCTGCCGGCAGGGTTGCTCGGGCAACAGCACTCAATGCACGAGGATTGTCTTAATCTTCTTGGTTGCTGACGAGGCTCGTCTGCATCCTCTAGCCCATCATGTTGAAGTGAAGTATGAGTGCCAGCCGCAGAAACACCATAGAGTTAGGTTAAATGCCAGTAAACTCCACAGAACCATACCAAACCGCACTCAACCTCAGTGAACGTCACCTAACCGCATTCCACCGCACTGAATCAGGCCCTACCCGGCCAGCAGGGTTGCCGACGAGGCTCGACTTGATCCTCTTGCCCATCATGTTGATGTATGAGTGCCGGCCACAAAAGCACTGATAACCACTCAACCGCACTCAGCCTCACTCAGGCTCACTCATCCACATTCAACCGCACTCAACCCCGCCTTACCCGGCCAGCAGGGTTGCCGACGAGGCTCGTCTTGATCCTCTTGCCCATCATGTTGATGTATGAGTGCCAGCCACAGAAGGCGGTGCAGAATCCTTTCAGCATCATCTTCTGTCAGGGGAGGGGAGTGATGGGGGGGAGGACGAGGAGGGGGAATGGGGGATGGGGAGGGAGGAAGGGGGACGAGTTTGAGCGCTGGAGGAAGGGGGCGGGGGGGAATCATGGCGATGTAGGAGTGCCAGCCACACAAGGAGCTGCGTGTTTGAAGAAGTCTCTGCGTGTTTGAAGAAGTCTCTGCGTGTTTGAAGAAGTCTCTGCGTGTTTGAAGAAGTCTCTGCGTGTTTGAAGAAGTCTCTGCGTGTTTGAAGAAGTCTCTGCGTGTTTGAAGAAGTCTCTGCGTGTTTGAAGAAGTCTCTGCGTGTTTGAAGAAGTCTCTGCGTGTTTGAAGAAGTCTCTGCGTGTTTGAAGAAGTCTCTGCGTGTTTGAAGAAGTCTCTGCGTGTTTGAAGAAGTCTCTGCGTGTTTGAAGAAGTCTCTGCGTGTTTGAAGAAGTCTCTGCGTGTTTGAAGAAGTCTCTGCGTGTTTGAAGAAGTCTCTGCGTGTTTGAAGAAGTCTCTGCGTGTTTGAGCCGCCTCAAAACACTTCTTCAAACACGCAGAGAATCATGGCGATGTACGAGTGCCAACCAGCCAGAGAAGGAGTCCAATCGAGCCCCACGTATTGACCCATGGCCTCTAAGTGGGGCTCGATTAGAATCATGGCGATGCACCAGTGCCAGCCAGCCAGCCACACAAGGAGCTGCAAAACCCCTTCAGCATTCTTTGGACGGGGTGTTGGACGGGGAGGGGGGGAAAGAGGAAGAGTTTGAGCGGTGGAGGAATGAATGGGGGGAACTCATGGGAACGTCCGAGTGCCAGTGCACAGGCATAAAAGGAGCTGCAAAACCCCTTCACCAGCCTATTTTTGAGTCGACTAAAAAAAGAGTCGGCTAAAAAAATGAGTCAACTAAAAAATGAGTCCACTAAAATATGAGTCGACTAAAAAATGAGTCGACTAAAAAATGAGTCGACTCAAAAATGGGTGGGGGGAACTCATGGGAACGTACGAGTGCCAGTGCCAGGTGCTGTTATCATTAAACAGGTGGGCTGCGGAGGTCTTATGTCCAACAACTTAGATGGTTCTTAAAACGACGAGACAAACTCATGGGAACGTACGAGTGCCAGTGCCAGGCTTAGAAGGAGCTGCAACACTCCTTCACTTTTGAGACGTCTCAGAAAGGCAGGTGCCGTCTCAAGATGCGCTCATGGATGACAGCATGCACCGATGCTGTCTGTCTTTTGAGTCGACTCAAAAGTCACGGCGCTCATGGATGACTGGATGCACCGATGTTGTCTGTCGACCTGAGGGAACCAAAGGGAGACCTACCAGCACCTGCACGCGTGTGATAAGTCGAGTTTTGAGTCGACTCAAAACTCGACTCAAAACTCGACTTATCACACGAGGGAACCAAAGGGAGAACTACCAGCACCTGCACGCCCTACCACACCCACTCACTCTCTTCATTTCATCCATACAAGTTGATGGACGTAAGGCCTCCGCAGCCCACCTGTCTGCGTTCGACAACACCAGCACCTACACGCCCTACCACACCCACTCACTCTCTTCATCCTCGGAGAGGTGATGACAAAACTCCTTTGGTGTCAAACGGGAGGTAGCGTCTCAAGATGGACTCGCGGATGACTGCATGCACCAATGCCGTTGACCCCAGGGAACCAAAGAGAGAGAGAGAGACCCCCTTTTGCCCCCGCACCCTGCCCAGCCACACCCACTCACCCTCTTCATGCGTGGAGAGGAGATGACAAAGTAAACCCCTTTCGTATCAAAGGGCAGGTAGCGCCGCAAGATGGACTCGCGGATGACTGCATGCACCGATGCCGTTGACCCCAGGGAACCGAAGAGCGTCGGCAGGATACCTTTTTCACCTATCCACCGAAACCCCTGCATGCCGCCCTTGCCCTTGCTCTTGCTGCTCGTTCTGTTGGCGCTGCTGCTGCTGGTAGTGCTGGCACTTTTGCCATTGCTGCTGCTGCTGGTTGTGTTCCCACTGCTGCATTTGCTGCTGCTGGTTGTGTTCGCACTGCTGCATTTGCTGCTGCTGGTTGTGTTCCCACTGCTGCTGGTCGTGTTGGTGTTGCTGCTGTCGGTGGTTGTGCTATTACCGCTGCTGGTAGAGCCACTGCTGCCGCTACCCCTGTCACGACTGCTACTGCTAATCTCAGCCGAATGCCGGGTAACCGGGCGGCTGGAAAATGGGCGGCTGGAAGATGGGCGGCGGGAAGTCAGGCCGCCGGAAGTCGGGCGGCGGGAAGCCGGGCGGCGGGAGGAACGGCGGCCGAACGGGTATGATGACTCGCCTTTGAGCGTCACGGAGGAGGAAACCGGGCGGCCCTTGCAGTCGTGGTACTGACGGTTGATGTCCCACCAGCCGGGGACTGGGAGCAGGGGGGGGGGGGGAGGGGGCAAGGAAGGGAGGGGGGGGGAGGGGGCAAGGAAGGGAGGGGATTGAGGAGCGAGAAGCGTGTGTGGAGCAAAGACAGGGCGGGCGCTGCAGTCGTGGTACTGACGGACGGTTAATGCCCCTCCAGCTGGATAGAGTTCATTTTTGAGGCGCCTCAAAAATCAACTCTGTGTGTGGAGCAAAGACGGGCCGGCCCCTGCAGTCGTGGTACTGACGGACGGTTGATGCCCCTCCAGCTGGGGACTGAGTGCGGAGTGCAGGAATAGGAGAAGATAGAAAGGAGGAGAAGAGTGCAGGAACAACACACATGCACGCACGCACGCACGCACGCACGCCCCCACGCCCCCTCCCCTCCCTTCCACTCCGCCACACCCACCTGTGTTTGTGGGATCCCTCCTGTCTAAGATGGACCGGATGAAGCACACACCCCCACCCCCCCCCCCCACACACACACACACACGCACACACACACACACACACACACGCACACACACACACACACACGCACACACACACGCGCGCGCACACACACACACACACCCCCACCCCACGCGCGCGCACACACACACACACACACCTACCCCACGCACACACACATTCCTACCCCACGCACACACACACACACACACGCACACACACACACACACACGCACACACACCCCCACCCCACGCACACACACACACACACACACACGACCCCTCCTCCGCCCCCCCCACACGCACATAATCAACCTCCCTTCCTCCCCTCCACCCTCCCCCACACCCTCACCCACACCCACCTGTGTTTTCGGGATCGCCCCGGTCCGAAATCGACCGGATGAAGCCTCTGAGAATGTTCTTCTGCGCGGCGGAGAACGGGCCGAACCAGATGAGGTAGACGTGGATGGGGCGATGCATCACTCCGCACAGGCTGGGACGCACACACAAACACAGGGACACACGGCCTCCCCCACACCAAAACCCACCTGTGTTTTCAGAATCACTCCGATCTGATATCGACCGGATGAAGCTTCTGAGAATGTTCTTCTGCGCTCTGGAGAACGGGCCGAACCAGATGAGGTAGACGCGGATGGGGCGATGCATCACTCCGCACAGCCCCGGGCGCGCGCTGCACGGCCACCTGTGACAGCCATGCTTCATCCCCCCCTTGGAGAGCGGCTTATTGAGAGGGGCGTTATTGAGCGTGACATTATTAAAGGTGATATTATTGAAGGTGATATTATTGAATGGGACACTAGGGGATGAGACTTCAGCTGCTGCGGCTGCTGCTGCTGCTGCGCCTGCTGCACCTGCTGTGAAGTTCCCACTGCTTTCTCTTTGACCAGAACGCGCGTTCAACCTCGCAATTGCTGCCCGTAACTTTCCTCCTCCTCCTACTGCTTCAGCTTCTGCTTCTGTTTCTGCTTCTGCTGGGGTTGCTGCTGCTAAGGAAAGTGAAAGGGACTGCTTGGGTGAAGGAGCGGAGAGTGGAGCTGGAGGAGGAACGGAAGGGGGGGGTGGGGAGAGTGCCTGGTTACCAGCTGCAGTGAGGACGGCACTTCCGCCGCGCTTCCCCTGATACCTGCGGAGAAGGGGAATTTGGAGAAGTGAAGGTGCAGGGGAGGTGGGGGGGAGTGGGAAAAAGGTAAGGAGAGCTGCTGGTTACCGGGTGCAACGAGGGCGGCACTGCTGCGGCGCTTCCCGTGATACCTGTAGGGAAGGGGAATGGAAGGAGAGGGGGGGCCGGGGAGGGGAAGAGGGGAGAGCTGCTGGTTACCGGGTGCAGCGAGGGCGGCACCGAAGCTTAGCGCTCCCCCTGATACCTGTGGAGAAGGGGAGTGGGGGAGAGGGGGGCCGGGGGAGGAGGGGAAAGAGGGGGGGAAAGGTGGAGAGAGCAGGAGGTTGTTGGGTGCAATGAGATGGCAATGTAACAGCGGCTCTCCCCCTGATACCTGCGGAGAAGGGGACGGGGGGAGAGGAGGAAGGGGAGGGGGAGGTGGGGAGAGCGGCTGGTTACCAGCTGCAGTGAGGACGAGGTGACTTTTGAGTCGACTCAAAAGTCACCTCAGCTGCAGTGAGGACGAGGTGACTTTCGAGTCGACTCAAAAGTCACCTCAGCTGCAGTGGGGACGGCACCAAAGCTGCGGCGGTTCCCCTGATACCTGCGGAGAAGGGGAAGGGAGGAGAGGAAGGGGTGGAGGGAGGGGGAGAAGGGGGGAAGGGGAGAGGGGGTCTTGCTGGGTGGGAAGCGGAAGGAGAACAGTACATTCGAGGGATACCTGGAGCAATCTGACGGCATTGACGGCGTTGACGGCGATGATGATGCGATCGGAAGGATAACGGAAGCAATCTGACGGTGCTGGCGGCGCTGACGGCGCCGATGATGCGATCTGTGAACGGAACGACTTAATCGCTTGACGGAAAGAGCACGTGGGGAAAGGGGTGTGGCCACGTGTGACCACGTTTTAGCTGCACGGAGGGAGGCTCTCCGTACCTGAGACGGTGAACGCCAACGGGAGTACGCCACGTGGCCGCCAGCCGAGGAGCCAATGAGAGAGTTTCCCGCCTCGACTCGCCAGCAACGGCTCCTGTTTGTCGAGCCGCAGCAGAGGACGCGAGAGCAGCCGCCCCCCCGCCGCCATTCCCTCTACTCGGCGCGCGCTCGACCCGGGAATGATCAGCGCGATTGACGCCGCACATCACAGGGACTGCGGAAAGGAGAAGCGACGCGAAGAGGGAGAGCTGGAGGGCAGCGGCGGCGCGGCGCCGTGGCGCGTGCCGATGAGGTCGGACCGCGACGAACAGACGCTCTTTACCCTGACCTCCAGTATAACTAATCTCCGAAATGGGTGGGTCAAGCGCGGCAAGCAGATCAGCCATCTTAGTTCGGGTCGAACCGATCTCCTAATGCGAGAGCTACGCTCGGGCCAGTCGGTCGGCGATTGCCGGTTGAGTCTCGACTCGAGTCGAATTCGCTCCTAGCGTTTCATCTGAATGTTCCGAGTCGGAGGTAACAGGAGTATCCAAGAAACTCGCGAACTCGCGCTTTCTGGAGTCCTCTTTGCTGACCAGCAAGGCGCAACGCTGACCACCGCCTCAAAAATCGTCTCCACTCGCGCTTTCTGGAGTCCTCTTTGTTGACCAGTAAGGCGCAAACGAGAACAACCAATAACTTCAAAATAATTTAGGGTTATTGGAGGGAGGAAGAGGCGGCGGCCAGCAGCGGTGGATTGAACGGTGACGAGTTTGTGTTCTCGGAGAGATTAATCGACGCCGCAAGGGCAAAGGCTGAACTCTGAGAGATTGAATCTTGATGCAGGTCGGAGACGGAGACTAGGAGCCCTGGTCCCTAACATCACACGGCCCAAGAACGCGCAAATAGCTCGCCCATTCCTCGACGAATTGTTGAGGGGAGCGAAATTCATGGTAATATACAGAGGGAGAAGCGAAGAGGATGTGTGCCTGCTAGTGCCAGCCATCGTCACTTGATCATGCTGGAGCTTGTTATACAGCATGTCTGTCTACGTGTACATCAGACATACAGAAGAGTCTTTGAAATAAAGAAAGCGCGTGAGATGGCGGCGGGCGGGCCTGAGGTAACAAGCTAGCATAACATGCGGATAGGTATTTGTGGTGTGTTGCAGTGTGGTGTCGGATCCGCAGATATCACTTCGTTCACGAAGAATGCGAACGATCCCTCGCGATTTGTGCGAACTTTCCCTACTCCCAGAGCAGTCGTTGCGCCTCGCCAGCATGTCGTTGAGATGGTATGGCGATGACATGCCAACACCACACAAACGGCCAAACCAATCAAAATTATATAGCCATTCAATTTCACCACACCACACATCCACCCAGCCACCACCATACATGGGTCCATTCCATTTACAGTTGTTCATGACACAATGCCTGACAGCCACGCATTCTCCTGGTCTCAATGGCAAATCCAACGACTCCGATGGGTCAATGAGTGACTGTTGTACCATTCGCACGAGACCACGGGCCGGGGGTGGCGGAGTGGCGCTGACCAATGGTGTTGCGTGACTCGGCACACTCAGGGCAGCTGAGTTGAGGCATGTGGTTGGTGGGATTTTCAGGGATTTTCCGGATTGGAAAAATATGCTCGAGTGGAGGGTCTGCTTCGTTCCCGCGCGACCATGTTGGGTTCTGTTGTCTTCTCGAGGTCCACATACATCTGGGTGTTTTTAGGGGGTATTTCTATTGCACACCCTTTGTCACAGGTTGATTCGCTTGCGAACAGGCTCCCGCTCGGAACTGTGCGTGCGACCCAGTCAAAAAAGACTGGCGGAACTACTCAGTTTCGCTGGGGACGATGGGATGGGATGGGAATCAAGCGAAAATTTGGTTATTTCGTGAGGGGGGGAAGGGCGGGGGAAGAATGTGCGGAAGGGCTGCCCTAGGTCAGCTTTCGGGCACTGCTCGATAACATTACGGAACGGGGACGTGAGGTGTTGGTTCTGAGTTTCTTCCCGAACCAGACGCGACAAAATTTTGCAACCGCTAAAAGTTCCCTACACCCTGTTTCTCGCTATTGTGAATTCCGGTATACTGAACCCTCTGGCTCAACGCGCCAAATTACGCGCTATAGTCAACTTTTGCACCAGTTCGGTTTGACGAGGTCAGCTACCTTTGAAGACGGTCAGTTGAACTTTTAATATGGCTCGGTAGGGTACCCAGGTTAACGAAATTTCGGATCACCCGCCTCCTAGAGACGGTTATTGTAAACTTTTCGAATAAGTCCAACGAACAGTTCCACTGTTCAGTGTGTTTCCGCAGTTCAGTGTAGCGAGAAACAGGGTGTAGTCCCGTTCCGTTGCAGACGCTCGAACAGGGTGTCGATTGGTTTGGGAACCCCCAGTCCCCTCCCTCTTTCCGCTTCGATTGTTTCTTCACAGACAGGTACACATGATGCCCAGCCCGTGCACGCGAATTTGCCCTGCACCGGATGGAAACCCTGCACCCGAGGTTTTTTTCCCAGCCAGTTGCACGCTCTTTACAAGCACGTCGCGCAAGCTGCAGTTGTTATGAACCAATAGTAACGAACAGACCGATTCCATACTGAAGAGACTGATGAGACTGAAGAGACTGATAGGTTACAAACATTTTTACAAGCACCTGACGAATCCTTTTTTGCTAGCTGCGAATTGACGAAAGTTATGCGAAACGCCCGTTACAGCTTTTAAGCTCCCTTTACAAAGCAACCGGGAGTGGCTCAAGCGGGCATCATGTGTACTTGGTTCACCCGGTTTTCAAGTGATTAACCAAGGCCTGTCCCTGGAGGTATGTAGACCGCAGCTTGTATTGTCGAAGAGAAAAGGCCCCGCCCTCGCTTGGGCAAAGTCGACCATGCATTTCGGAACAAGACGGTGTTCGTTTCGTGGTCATCGGCGACTTCGGGGACTTTTTATCTGTGTGCGACGAGTCATTTGTCGACGAGATTATTTGGTCGAGGTAGAAGTGTTTCCTCGGCTCGACCAAAGTCCTCGTCTAGGAGGAGCTCGTCGAGGGGAGTAAAACGGCGACAAAGACGAGCCTTTCTGATAGACAGAATTGGCAGAAATGGTGTTTCGACGGATTTCTAGTCGACAGAATTTAGTTCGACGAGTGTTTCGTCGAGCAGATCGATTCTGGTCGACCAGATTTACTTGGCTCCAAAATTTGCAATGTGCGCGAATTTCGACCAATCAGGTAATTTCGGAAATTGTACTCCCCAGGAGAATTCGATTCAGTAAGGAAACTGAACCTGAAACACGTTTTTACTAACAGTAAAAACGTGCACAACTATGAACGTTGTAAACCTGAGCAACTACCAACTGAGGTGAAATATGCATGTGCTTGTCGTTTCACCTGCCGTTGCTGACTCGACAGATTCAGGTGCTTGTCGAGGAACGTTTCTACAGGGTTCATTGTCTTTGCTATTTGGTTCTCCTTGCTTGTACCATAATCTTGTTCTATGAACTTTTGCTAGTGGAACTATGCGTGAATTCTACCAAGACAACTAAGTTCACTTCTGAGAATCACTGCCAGAACTCTGACCGTGTGTCCCACGCTAGTCAAGCTCTCCCGTAGAATAGTATTCTCCGCATGGTGCGGTGAGCGTGGACGGCCCCGCGTTAGAAATTTCAAATAGCCGACTTATGCGTTCATTACCTAAGTTGTTGTTAGGCCGGCAGCCATCTTAGTCACCATGGTCGACCCCGTCGTTGAAACGGGCGTAGAAGATACCCTGGAGGCGAGAGAGGCTGGTGTTCGGGCACGCCACGAGGCTGGCGGTTACGGCGAGGCGGACTTGGAGATTCTGCTCCTTGGAACTCGTGCGCAGTGGGCGCGTGAGCATCCCCCTCCCCGTGCAGAAGCGGACGACGCGTCCGCCTCTCCCCGACCCGTGCTCAACGAAGGAGATGGCGGCAATGTCGTCGGCGGTGGAAGCACGAGGGTTCGCGGAGTGATTTGGCCCACCGATGGCGGAGTGCAGGCGCAAGTGGTGCGATCATCTGCGACTGGAGGCAGCTCGAACGGCAACGTCGGTCCTCTGCGGAGTGGAGCCAGGCCGGCTTCTGCGACTCATGCATCAGCTGGTCGAGACGGAGGCATCGCGCCGACAAACGTATATTTAAAAAATAAAGCCGGACAAGATCGCTGTGCCGAAGCCGCTCGAAGGTCGACACGACTTGATCACGTGGATTGAATCCATTGAGCCTCAGCTGGAGATTGCCGGATTAAAGAAGTTCGTCGACGGCAATGTTGTGACGCCGGACGCAGACGACTCTGAACTCTGGACGGAATTTCGCGCTGCTCATCTACTGACCTTCATGGTTATTTCGAGGTGTTGTTCGCCTCTGGTGCAGGTCGCATTGAAGTCGTGCAGACAACGGGTGGATGCTGGCTTCCAAGCGTGGCAGTACATCATGCGCACCTACAAAGCGACCGACGACCTCTACATCAGTCAGCTGGAGAAGAAGTTGACCAACATTCGAATGGGGGAGTAGGAATCGGCGACCGAGTACTGCAATCGAGCGCGGCGAGTCTTGGCTGATCCGCGGATGGCCGGCGTCGACTACTCGGTGGCGTCGTATGTCACTCATGTGATCAGTGGCCTCCCCTCGGGCTACAATCCGATGCGACGGATGCTGACAATTCCCGGCACGCACGAGACTCTGAACGAGGATTCGCTTTCGAGCCACATCATCCAGGACGAATTCATGCAGGAGTCTGAGCGACCTGCAGAACTGCTTCCGCAGGTCAACTACGTCGCCCCGGCGAAGCAGGGACGCCAACAGGGGCAGCGTGGGAAGTCTGCTGGAGGCGGTGGTGGGAAGTCGTCGAACGCGAAATCGATAGAGAGCGCCGACCGCGGGAAGTCGACGAAAGGTGGAGATCGCGGAAGCAGTGGCTCGCGTCGAGAAGGACGCCGTTGCTACATCTGCGATGCTCCCGACCACCTCTCCTACGACTGCCCCGACCGAGACGAGTCTGACGACGACCGAGATGCCAACCGCAGAAAGTCTGATGGTGGCCGTCGTCGTCGAGACAACCAGCCGCGCAAGGAGAAGCAGCCGTCAAAGCCGTCTTCGACGAATGATGCGGACTCCTCTGGCGGCAATGCTCGTGGCGAGGAGGCTTCGTGCTCGATGGTCAGCGTGGTAGAGCCGACGATCTCGCTGGCGATGGAGGCCGGCGAAGACTTCAAGGCGGTCGCCGCTGCTATGCAGGCCAATCCGACTGTTGTGCTGCTCGATAGCGGCTGCTCCCACCATTTGATGGGGACGAAGGAGGCCTTCGTCGACATGCAGCCGAGCGGAGATGTTCGCCACGTCCGCGGCTTCAACGGAGCACTTCAGAGCGTCGAAGGCAGAGGC